TGGGTGGGAAAACTAGTTTGTGGTAGGGGTATTTGTCTTGTGTTTCCTTCACCAAAGATTTAGCCTTTGACTTTGGGCTAATCCTTACACAGAGGATCTGTAAGTATTTGGCTTCCATAGGGGAGGAATTTCTCTATTTTTTGGATGGCCAGTTTTCAGGGATCCTTTACAGAACTAATTTCATGGTGTGTTAACTTAGTATTTGTGGGCAATAACCTTGGCTGAGGTAAAGACACTGGTGTGTTGTTTTCAAGGAAGTGAGACTTTCACTGCCCAGGAGGGGCAGTTTTTTTTATTTTGTATACTAGTACGATGTAACTTAAGTTCGATTCATATACAGCATGAATGTAGTACTCTTTTACGCATTAGTTTAGATTTTAGATTTGTACTTAGTACCCCTAATTGCCATACGATGTATCCGTACATTAGTTGTGCAATAAACTTTGACTTGACTTGACTTTTATTTTTCCTTAGGGGGGTATATCCAGCTGTTGTTCCAATATGTAGACCCCCCTATTCCAAATCTGAGAGGGGGGGAGAGTAAATGAATTGGTACAGCAAATCCATATAGTTATGAAATCTGGTATTGTTTATTTTATAGATAAATTATGGCTTATTAAGACAACAGCCATCATCAATTTTTCAATGCATAACTGTCCCTAATCTACAATTGAACTTGAAGAAAATCTCTCTAACATGTACATCAACATCATGTTATAATATTTGTCTTCTTATTACATGCACTTATTTTTGTGATGGAAGATACTGTAGGGTATAATAAGCAGAGGCTATAGATGATGTCCGTACTCAGTGGAAGAGAATATGCACATCTTTTTCATCAATATGTCTTTATCTTATGGAATCTCCTGAGAAACTGGGTCAGAGTTTTGTTTGTTTATACAAGATGTTGCTAGGATGAAGGACCTGTTTATACAAGTGTCAGTTGGCCACATCTACTGTTATGGTCTGTAATCAGATAATTACAACATCCTCTGTGGTCTGTTGATCACATCAACACTAAACCAGAATTCCTGTAGTGCAGAAAGTTTCTCCATCTACAAAAGGAGTCATTCTTCCCTTTCCAAATCTGCAGGAATATTCAACCGATCCCGTATTTTTAGTTTATTGTTATGGAAGTGTGGAGGACCCTTCTTTCTACTCAAATGCAAATGAATGAAACTTTGAAAGACTATAGAACAATAAGTAAGCAGTTTGCTCATGAGCAAGCCTGTTGTTGGCCATGGTTTCCCACAATTCTCTCCCATAAGAGTCAATTTCATGGTGCTTCTATCTGGACCTAGCTCCTCTCTGGGGATGTAAAGCTATCCCTGGTTGTCCTCAGTCATTCCCTCCCCAGCTCCAGTACAGACCAGACACACCACTTGGACTGCAATATGTGAAGTGTCTCACTTTGTAAATGACGATTGTTTTGACTAGCGAGAGGAATTTGTGGCTTTAGAACAGCAGGTAGGATTTAACATTGAGTGATTTTGCTACATAATTGTGTTCTTTCATATCAATTTCAGTGTGGAAGATGATAGAGACTGAAATTGTCACGATTGAGGCTTTCTAAATTAGATCCGCTCCTTTCTTCTGTTCTTTTGTTGTTGCACCTAGAGCTGTTTTTATCAGGTTATAGTTTCATTATGTCACATTACATTGTCATAGTCTAGTCATTTCTGTGATTGGGAGAATGTAACCGAATAAAAGAGCTCTTATATCTGGTACATAATTGGTTACTTGTCATCTGTATGAATCATAAGGCCATTTCATATTAGTTCATTTGCTTGGTTTTGGTCTTTTGTGGAAAAAAAAAGAAGTAGGCACTACAGATAGAAGAGATAGAAGAAAGATAGACATGGCGATGTGAAGTTGTGTACATGTATGTAAAGTAATTGTTATGGGTCATTTCCATTTTCTTCTTCCATGCATATGATGAGCTACGACTTGGGATCATTCACAGGAAAAGGTGGTCACTACAGACAGGATTCTCCATGCTTGTGTCAATGCAAACAAAATTATCTAAGGGGCTGCCAATGTGACAAGTGGTCACATTGGCAGTATGGCCCCTATTACTAGTATTAGAGGTGCTCACTTGTACTTTTTCAGGTTTTATTTATGTACAAAACAGCAAGTTCCCCAAGCTAACATTTATTCTCATAATAGACCTGATTGTGTAGAAAACTTGTGACGGGTAGAAAATGAGGTGATGAGGATGATCTGCCCTGCCCACTCAGTTGCTGTGGTGATGTCATGACGTGGCACAGATTGCTCATCACAGTCTATTGTGCCATGTTTAGCACTGATGGGATCTTCTGTAATTGAAATTAGGCAGCCTGTGTGGGCTATTTTCTAGCCTCCACCAGGCCTAGGATGGTAGAACTCTGCACAACAAGGGATTGTGTTCAACATTAGCGTTTTATTTCCCCCTCAAAATGAACTCCCCTGGCCAATTATTTGGCTAGATTTTACTGTTTTTCAACCCAAGTTAGTCTTGGAGACTAGGTAGGTTTGATATTGTAGAAAACTAGGAAAACACTTATTTGAAATGAAAGGAATCTGCTAGGTGGCCCAGGAATATTATGGAGGGCAGTGGTCAATGATTTGCTCTGTCAGAGTCTCTGTACTCTATGCAAGGGGATTGAGTGAGTAAATAAGTTTTTACTTGGCTAGAAAGCAACCTACCAACCAACCAACAAAAATGTCAATTAATCCTAACACATTTTTGTAGAGGAAATCATGGTAGATTGGCATGGTTTACAATATATGTATATAATTATATGGCTGGCTAACTCCTCTGGTACATTATTCACCATATTTAGCCAATTTCTGCTATTTTTCTAGTATCCTAAGGAGTCAGATTCAGTCTAGTTGTAGATTGTCATTTTTCAAAGTACTGTAAATGTTAATGTTCATTTTTTGCAAGAGATAAGAAATATGCACTAGGTTACACGCATCAACAATCATCTTTCATAGCCCTGTTATTGCAAATTCCTGAATTCTAAGCACATTCTGCCCATTCTAATTACAAAGGCAACATCTGGTCTCAAAATTGTACAGTTACAGTCTTTTGTAGCCAAAGGTCCACATATTTTACCCTTTGATATATGAGTAGTTCCTGATTTGCATACAGGTGGCAGATTTAGGAGTCTTCCATTCAAAAAGCCGCTGTAGGGGTGTTCCAAAATAATTTGGATCTTTTGTATCCTAATTTCTGTTAATTGCACAATAAACAACCAATTTTTATACATATGCAAACAATTCATTGAATTTTCTGTAATTAAATTCTTCAAACAAATACTGTATATACCTGATCGTATTTTCCCTCAAAATCATCCCCCCCCCCCTTTCATGTAGTCTTATTTTGACAGTCCCTTATAAGGCTTACTCTATTGCTTTGAGATATTCCATTCCTTGTATTTTATGGCCAGATGCTGCCTGTGACATTTTATGCCAGTAGACATATTGATACTTTCAGAAATGCCTTTCCCTCAGGCCATTTTCATGTGGTATGTCTGATTTTTGCTTATTTCCGATCGTTTACGTCTATGTTTCTCCTAGGCATCAGTAATGTATGCTGTGCCACTGTGCTCATCCATAACGGTGACTAAGCTATTGCAGTTTGCATTTTCCAGCTTTTCTATCTATTGGATATTACAATGTGTATCCTTTTGCAGTCATGGAATACGTTGTATATATTATAGGCAGTTACTCATAGATGCCTAATATATGCCAGAGGATGCTGTAGCATATGTTGGAAAAGAATAGTTGCCCTGTAGTCCTCTGTGTTATTGTTAGAAAAGGCGCCTGTCAAAAGCGAGCATTGTACTTATGCTACTACTAATCACTAGTGCCTGGAGCTAGCATTAGGAAGCTATTCTACCTCGGTAGACCTTTTTCTGTGGGACTAAGTCTCTCTAATGGTGCCTATTAACTGATCAAGCTGGCTGAATCAGTGAAGGAAAGGACTGTGCATTCAGTTCAAACTCCTAGCAATAGACTTTCAACGTCCTGTTCAGACTTCTAGCGAGGCAGTGTTAGTATCTATGAGCAGAGAGAGCTACATCACCTGCATTAGATTGATAGCCATACATTGTACAGCTCTCTACGCAGATACTGTTCTCTCCCCCAACATTGCCCTTCCTCCCAGAAAGAAACCACCTCCTAAGTGCTCGTAGATACTTGTGTGCCCCACTAAAAGTCTGTGCAAGTGGCTAGTAGTAGTGCATGTAATACTAATAGACCTGCTGTACAGATTCTTGCACCTCAAATATCCATTGAATGATGATTAGAGTTTCATCCCAATGGGGACCATAGTAACAAAATCTCCAGTGCAAGAATTGCCTACAGTAACTGGTAATGTCACATTTCCATGAAACAGCAGTGCTCAAGGTCTATACCTGACCCCTTATGTGGGTCACATCCCTAAATGTCTGGGTCAAATGCTGGGCAACAACAGTCAGGGAGAAAACACTAACTGTTGATAAAGGTTGTTCAAGTTCCGAGTGATATTTTCAACCGTCTACCTCCATATTGTCTATACTTTTCCTAAATTATTTGCCTTATGTGTAGCTTCTTTCAATTTTTTTATCTCATATATATATATATATATTGCTACATTTATTTCTTGCATTTGTATGTTCTGCTATCACTTATGTCTAGTTAGAAATACAAATAGTGGGAAGAAGTTATTGGTTCTGCAAATGACCGATCAAAAATACAAGCTGATGAAGAACAATTGGCTGGCAAATGGCCAATCAGAATTGAGAATACTCAAGTCTGCTAAACATTGATGGCTGAAATAGTCAAGAGATTTCTATAAGTTCTTGCTTTATGTACCCATCTCTAGATGTGATCTCACAATACATGATGACTCATTCATTGTACCTTTTCTATTTGTGTCTACCATTCAAGCAGACTTCCCTCTAGAGGTCAGAGAAAAAGAAACACATTCACAGCAACCTGACTCAGCTGACTGATTCCCACTGTCCATTTTTCAGGGTGAGCAGGCAGGGAGAGTGGGCGTACTGACCAGCTATTGTCGATCGCCGCCGGAGACCTTCTGCGTAGAACAACAGGCTGGCAGGAAACCCATCCATGGCTGGCTGCTAGTCGTGTATTGAGGTGAGTAGGTGATGTTAGTTCTTTGTTGTGATAAGATGACCCATGGTTTATATTTCCTCAGGAAGTATCAACCATGGGTCATCTTATTGACCTGCGTTGTCTAGTGCATCCTTACTGGCCTTCACTAGGCCTTCCTAAATGGGTTAGGAGGTGGAATTTGACAAAAATAGGCTCTGACTGGCCAAGGGAGTCCAACCTTTAGGGTTTCATTTCTCCCTCGAAAGCGCTGGCAAATGACCTCCACTGTGGCTAAATTCCCCTGGGCAATTTTTCTCCCTATTTGACTAAATTTTACTGGTTTTGAACCCGTGTTATTCTGGTGGAGACTACATCTGTAGGTGTGGAGGCCTTTCTGGGCAAGGAATTTACAATCCCCAGAATTTCCATTCCCCACTTTCTGTGATATTTTATTCAACAAAAGTGGGCACATGTTTTTTTGCCATTCCATTTGAGATCCCCCAACGATATTGCTTAAAATTAGGTTTATATCCTATATATTTTGCCATTTTTGTCTACCATGGGCTATATTTAATGGAAATGCTTGATCTCTAAGCAGATGTTGTGGCAGAAAATAGGTGGCTGTTGGTATCTTCCACCCAACATCTGCTTGGAGATCAGATGATTCCAATAGAAACTGGATTCAACCAGTGATATTTATTGTTACAAGGATGTAAAATGTATGTTACTGATGGTACATTTATAGTGCTGATTTACACCTTCTGTATTGTAACTTGGGGCTTGCCTCCAGCTTTGGGAGGTGTGGTATTTGCTTGGTTTTTAGGACAATTAGTCAATTATCGAGAGTGCAGCTGTTCCAGGATGGTAGGATGGAATATCGGGGAATCTGTATCCCCTGTTCTGGGAGATTGGCATTAATGTACCGGAGGTGGGGCTATAGCAGACATGTCCTCATCTGTTAGGGATGAAACGGTCTTATCACGAGGCAACTAGAGGGTATGTGCTTTTCGCTGACGTCAGCAGAAAAATTCAGTAATATTTCAGAATGTCAACTGTTGTCAAAAACATTACATCAAAAGAAAGAAACAAAATTTGTTATAAAACAAATAATTTTGACGTAATTTTGATGTACGTGTAGTTGTGAACATGGCATAAAATTTTGTTATATCTAGATTTTATAGAGAGTTTTGATTTGTTGAACGATGATTGGGAAAAGAATGATTAACTATTATAATTTTTGTATACTGTCAAACAGGAAAATAGGCACAGGTGATTTATGATCATTTCCATGAAAAAACATGTTATGCCTCAGTAAAACAAGGATGCTTTACCTTTTTAATTTATTGGGCAGTTTTAGAGAATATATCTACTGTCAATGTTGTCTTACCCAACCCAATATGCAAAGAGCAAAGAGAGCAAATCTATCAGTAGATAGAGCAGTAGTCCATTATGATTAGTTTCCTCTTGGTTTGGAGTACCTCTAGCTGATAGAAGTCATCAACGTTATGACTTATGGCAGAGCTTCATTTTATATTATATGCTTTCTGTGCTGACAGGGTGTATTTTATGACATCCAACTTGAACAGGTGCTGTATTCTCAATCTAGTCCATCCAGCAAATACCGAGGGAACTGTTACAATAGTTATCTGTCGGGTGTTGTTGAGATATTTCTCCATAGAGGACAGTAATCTATCAAGAGTTATTACACATCAGTTGTAACTGGTTTGGAATGGCTCCTGCTGGCAGCCATTTTGTTTGATCGATTGTGGCAGTAAGAATGGTTTGTGTGCACATGGAAGATTGTAGAAGATTGTGCTTTTATTGCTAGACCTTGACGGTCAAGAAGGTCGTAAATTTGCCCTTGAAAGTTGTAACAACTCTTGGAAGGTGCTTACCAGCTTCGAGATTTCCGAAGAAAGGTTCTAAATACAATGTGAATTCAGTGGCAAAGGTGATAGTAGACTCTTTTTAGAACAGGTAATAATTTAAGAATGTGTTTATGATGACTAGATGACCTTTAGAAGATGAAGAGAAAGGGAGGCTCATCAATTGGAAACTCGACATATCTATGACTTTCAAACATACATGTAAGTTTGTAATAAGAAAATTTTTAAGATTCCAGCATTAGACATTATTTGAGGTCGTGTTCATATATTTATGAATGACATCCTCTCTGTAGTTTTAAAATATTGTATCAGGAAAGATATCATTATGTAATGGGAAAAAATCCTTATGTCACGTTGACATCCAGACCTTCCAACTGAAACCAAGGTTTCACCCAGGCGCAGTACATTCTGCCTATTTTAGTCCTACATGTATATAACTTTTTATGCTGGCCCAAAAAACAGAAAGGAGGCCTGTCCATCAAAGCTTCATCCTCACATTTCATACAGCTGGCTGGATAAGATATGCTCCCAATTAACATTCCTGAAGTCTCCTTGCAGTGTGCTAGCCTGTGGGCTTTAGTTTCAGATTGACAGAGTTCCTGTTTGATTATTTTGCGGAGGTTATGCAGGGGTTATGACTGGTGATAACACACACATGCCATTTGGTAGCCGTGCCCTGCAGTTCAAAGTGACTTTCAACTGACCTTCATGTAGAAAATGCTGTCAGGGGGCATATTCTTCAAGCCAGCATACAGTTCCCAAAGGTTTGGCATACTTGTGAGATGCATTTTGAGATGAAGCTGCAGTTTATAAGATTGCTGCTAGGGGGTCTTAATAACTTCAGCTACATTTTTGCTTCCCAGGCACAGTTGACCCACTCCTGATGACACACAGAAGATCAGTGCTTAGATGGTGTCTAGAAAGTAGGTCAAATTTCTCAGGAAAGCTAACAGACAGCCAAAAATTTAGTGAGTCATCATTCTTTTGTGTAAGAAAATGGCATGTAGAAGATTTAATTCAGGTACCTTCCTGTTGTACATTTCCTTCCCTTTTCTTTTGTTCAGCTAACTAGAAATGTCTCGAGGTGCCAGTTAGGCCATGTTGATTTGATTATATGGATGACATCCTCTGGGGACCCCAAAACTGATGCGAGCGTGCGAATAAAAAAAAAGTTTTGCAAAAAAAAAGTTGCTTTCATCATGAAATCTACGTGGTCATGAAGGTTGAACAAATGACACAGAGTATGGTATGGCGAATAATCTACCCTCCAAATTCATTTCTTCACATTTTCGTCTTTTTCATTTAATTTTGGCATTCTACGACAATGGTATCATTTCCAAATATTTTTTTGTACCTTACGGTATATTTTTGCTCATTTTACAACTGTTGATTGTATGATTTACAGTATGATTGTAAATTTTTTTTTTTGGAAACGGCCGAAAATTCATGCGCGCGCGGATGTCATCCATATAATCAAATCAACATGGCCTTACATGAAACAAGAGCTGGTACAAGACCTGAGGATGGTAGATTTCTTGTGGTTTATTATTCCTTGTAAAATGTCCATCTGCTATGTGAAATGTCTTGAGGCCCCAGTTACATGAAACGAGACCCAGATGTCTAGCTTTATGATATCTCATAACATGTCCGTCTTGAATGTATTTCAAGTTGCCATGAACAACTGAACTCAAGCCTTTCAAACAGCCAGTCGGTAAAATTGATGGCCTCCCATTTTAAAGATCATTTCCTGGTACTCAGACTCTGACAGAGTATTACCAGTTTATTGCCTAATACATTTTTGTATGTGTAAAGGGGCATTCATAAGATTTAGGGGCCATTCCAAAGTTCTCAAAGTGTGAAAGCAATCATGGTATCACTATTCTGACCTCTGCCAAGGAGGCCGTATTTCTATCAGTTTCGGTCCTTTTGGTTCAGTATCTGGTGGTTTCTTGTGAAGAGGATATCTAGAAAAGTTATGAGGTGATTTTAATAGTTTCTTTGTGGATAGGCCTTGGCTAAATGAAGATTGAATTGAAAGTCGGACCTCCAGCAGCTTGCTTGCAAATTGCAGATTAAAAGAATGTAAATCTTGTCAAGGAAACTGTCATGCTGGTTTGCGCGCTCAAAATGCTGTCTACTTAGCAATCATGCTATCTGTAATCCCCTGTAATGAGGCATATTTGACAGATGGAATAAGATTGTGAGTGGAATTCCAATGAAGCCGACACCTGCAGCTTCCATGTTATTTGCTCTCCTGTTTTGGTAATGATTTATCAGCAAGAAAGAAATGCACATCCATTTTTAGCAACAGCATACAGCATGTAGCTTAAAGGAAAAACACAGTGATATGTCAGTGTCAAGAAAGATACAGACATCTTTACATTCAAATTTAAGAACTGTTATTGTGTTAACATTTCTTTTGGATATCTTGTACATACAAGGGGGCTCAGTTCTTCTTTAGATAAATCATACTGTACATAGTGTATATTGTGAAAAATTTGTTAAGGTTTTATTTTTGCAGTTTTTATTTTGTGAAGGTTTTATTTTTTTGCAGTTTTTATACTGAACTCTCACTGTTCTTGAACTTCAACAGCAAACAAAATACCATGAATTTAAGTCTTCAGGAACTTGATTCGATATGCAGAACATTTGTTGGAGATGTCCCTATGATTAGCCTGCCCACATCTGTTGTGTTTGATGTCCCAGTGAGCAGTACAGTCAACAGCTCAACAGCATGACTAGAATTTTTATTGCTTTTGAGCAAAGCTGTGAATGCCAAATTTCTTTCCTTATGTGCAAAGGTACCAAGAGAAATACTTGTGGGTAGAGCAATGTTTAAAAAATAAAATTATGCATGGCTTGTTGCAGTTCAAATTATTAAAATATATCAGTCCAGGTGTTCCATTAAAATGCATTTGTCCTGAAAATGCAAATATTCTGTTCTGTACCATTCAACACATTTTTATAGCATCAGCATCTCACACTCTCAGGTTGAGGTGTTCTCTTTCGTGTGGCTCTTTATGTTCAAACTAATGTCTGTAATCGCTGTACTTACTGTAGTTAGCCTATTAACATTTATTACTCTGCAGGTGCCTCAGTGCATCAAATTGGTACAGGTATGCTTCATTGGGCTACTTAAGGTTATTAAGCATGCTC